CATACGTTGTGAGCCAAAACCGGTTTGGCTCAGTGGATAGAGCGTCAGCCTGCGGACTGAAGGGTCCCGGGTTCGGTTCTGGTCAAGGGCATGTACCTTGGTTGCAGGTATGTCCTTAGTGGGGGCGTGCAGGAGGGAGCTGAACGATGACTCTCTCTATCGATGTTTCTAACCCTCCATCTCTCCCCCTTGCTCTCCGTAAAAAATCAATAAAATATATTTTTTTAAAAAATATGTTGTGAGAACTTGCTGCTGACTTTTGTGTCGAAACCTGAACAAAAACCAGGTTTAAACGAACTTGGGGAAAAGCACAACCACAATACACAATGAGCTACCAGCCGCAGGGAGGGCTCCTGTTTGCAAATCTTCTCTAATGTCCTAAGAGATAAATTCAATCTCCATTTTACAGTCCGGCTTGGAGAGTGAGGAGGGGCTGCAGGGCAGAGGGTGAATCTGGTGACCCTGGGAGTGGGCATCCCCCAGGCTATGGACGCTGTTTTGGGTGATACCCACCCGCCTCCTCGCCTCCTGGGAGCAGAATCTTGACAGACTGCAAGCCCCCCCACCCCCCAGGGGGCCGGGACCCGCCCCCCACGCTGCTGTTGTCCTGCCACAGCTGTTTCCGTGTTTTATTACGATTTTCTCCGCCTTTCAGTTTGCAGGCCAAGGGGAGCCTCGGGGGACCCATCTGTTTCTCTCTGCCCTTTTCCCTGTTCCCAGAAGCCAAGCTCACACATGCACGCGTGCACACACACGCCACCCCAGGCCGCCGCAGAGTCCTGGAGGACAGCGGAGACCGGAACCCGAGTGACCGACGGTGGCCCGCCCCTCCGCACCCGGGGACCTGAAAGGAGAGGCAGCCCGGGCGCAGGCGGAGGTGGGGTCCTCGGGATGGGGCCCTCCTCGGAACAGCGTGGTGAAAGGAGCCTCCACACAGGAACCAACCCCCCTCGGTGGAACAACAGGCTTTCTTCCCAGGAGAACTTCTGTCTTGTTTTTACTTAAACTTTCCTATTTAAAGAATAAATAAATAAAGCACACAGAGGGAAGGTGGAGGTGGGTGGGAAGAGATCAACCAAAGAACTTGTATGCATTTATGCATAAGCCATGGACACAGGCCTGGGGTGGGGGGCTGGGCAGTCTAGAAGGGATCAATGGGAGAAAAAAAGGGGACATATGTAGTACTTTCAACAATAAAGATGAAAAAAAGAATATTCTCCGTTAAAAGATATAGAGATAGATAGATAGATAGATAGATAGATGAATAGATAGATATAGATAGATGCAGCTTAGTGGTTGAAGCCAACAGAGCTAACTCACTCGAGTCTAGTGCACCTAAGAAAGGTGGTCCCATCACGCGTAAGAAAAGTTAGAAACTTATTAAAAGAATGTGTTTCTCCCAAGATGGCGCAGATTAGTGTCTCTCCTAACAAGAATGGCATTCTGCAAGCCAGGCAACGTCCCTGAGGCCCCAAGGACAAAGCTCTGTCTCAAAGAACGCCGGCACACCAAGGTCCCCACCCCGGGCTTTTGATGACTTTGTTGTCTTCAGAATGTGGCAGGAGCGAGTCTTCAGGTCCCTGGGCTCTGCCCTGCCTAGGTCTCCATCATCACTGCCAGAAAGAGCTGATGTGGGTGCAGCCAGCTCTCACCCTCCTTCTCCTGCCACCAGCGTTTCCAGGAGCCGCAACTGGCTTGTGTTTCTAGATGGTCCGAGAACCTACAGCGCCAGATCCTAAACACTGAGCTAAGCAACACCTGCGGTTCTTTTCCCAGCCCCGCTCTCCACCGCTCCCCATCTCCAACCTTCTCCCTGGATAATCATCCCATCCCATCGCACATCACCCTTAGAGAGAGACCAGGGTTTCTCCCCCTCGGCACGGTTGATGTGCTCCTGGAAGGGGGATGTCCTGTGTATTACATAGAGGGGTTCAGCAGCATTCCTGGCCTCTGAGCACTCCATGGCAGCAGCACCCTCTCCAGCTGCGACAACCCCAAAGCCTCTCTAAAAGGGCCCTGGTGGGGAACCATTGTGGCGGGTCTGTGTTCACATGGTTCTTGGATTGGGACATACTCTTACTCTCTCTCCTAAGTAAACTCCGAAGACTTAAATCCTCTCCTCGTAAGACCTTAAGGGAGTCAGTCCAGCTGGTGCAGCCCAGGCCTGTGCTACCTACATAACCCCCAGGTGTTTACTTGTATTTTACCTTGACGTTTCACAGCTGTTTGAAGTGGGGTTGTCTCTTCTACAGCCATAGCTCTCAAGCTTCTAGATGGCTAGCGTTGGGCTTTATTCTTTTATTAGGTGTCACCCATCGCACTTGGCAGGTAACTCGGTGTTCCACTCTCACAGAGGAACACAGTGAGCCCTCAATAAATATCAGAGAAAGGAAGAAAGAATAGAGGGAAGGAGGGAAGGAAGGAAGGAAGGAAGGAAGGAAGGAAGGAAGGAAGGAAGGAAGGAAGGAAAGAAAGAAAGAAAGAAAGAAAGAAAGAAAGAAAGAAAGAAAGATTAAGAAAGAAAGAAAGAAAGAAAGAAAGAAAGAAAGAAAGAAAGAAAGAAAGAAAGAAAGATTAAGAAAGAAAGAAAGAAAGAAAGAAAGAAAGAAAGAAAGAAAGAAAGAAAGAAAGAAAGAAAGAAAGAGGGAGGGAGGGAGGGAGGAAGGAAAAATGGAACAAAGGTTGAGAAGAAAGGAGGAATGAAGAGAAGGAGAAAGGGAGGGAAGATATCGAATAGCTTCTCAGAGAATGATATGGGTGCTATGATCTCCACTTTATAGACGAGCTCCCTTATGCTCACCTGCCAAGCCTCAGGTCCCAGCTCCGAAGTAGCTGAGGCAGGGTTGTAACCCCCTTTCCAGACAATGTCTAGTCTAGGTCTGTCATCAAAGAAGCAAAATGTGTTTTCTCTCCTAGAAACCAGCACAGCTCACTGCCAAGCCTGCAGCTGCTCTGCCGCCTGCCATTCGAGGAAGAAATCAGGGCACCTCCGGGTTTGGTTCCAAGGGAGGCCATGCAGGGAACCCTGGAATTTCCCTCCCTCCGCGGAGGGAGAGTCCAGCAAGGATCTTTCCAGCTTGGCACCCTGGAGATCGCAGATAGGAACACAAAAACAAACTAACAAAAACAAATGAAAACCATCAAGCAAAACCCCACAGTGGATTAGCCCAGGTCTTTGGAGAGGCAGATGCTGGGATGGGATGAAATTGCAAGGGCTTTATGAGAGGAAATGCCTGTGTGAGGGAAAACAGGGAGGGAGCTGGAAAAGCTGGGAGCCCTGTCAGACCACAAGACAAGTCTGACCCTGATGGAGGAGAGAGAAAAGCATCGTAGAGCACTGGGCAAGACCACATGGGAATTCTCCAGCCAAAGTCAGCCTTCCCTGAATGCCAGGTCTCCCGAGAGCACGGCTCCCTGAGCCAGGCACCCTTGCTGTGCTCATCCCCTGAGCAGCAGCAGCCTCTGGAAGGCGTGGCTTCTGCACCACCAGGGCCTTGGGTTTGTCTCACAGGGCCACTGCTGATGACTTTGGGTAACTCCGCCCCCTGCAGTGAGAGGTGTATCCTCAAGGGAGGCAGGGAAGGGGTTGCTCAACTGAATTCAAGTAGACGGTATGCCTGTTTGTTGAGAAGATGGTATGATTGATGAGCAATGGGATGGGGCTGGCTCAGTCCACAAAGCGTGGACACAGCCAATGCATTTTCCTCATCCGCTGAGTCCAGGTAACCACTATCCACAATGGGCACAGCGCTTCCCCTAAGCAACTGTGCTATCTGTGGGGTGCAATAAAGCACCCTCAGTTTCTTTACTACAATGGCACTTACGCTTTTCTCTTTAACTGGGAAAATGCCATGCGTGGTGTGAACCATGAACAAATTGCAGATATGTGGAGTAAGAGGTGGGAGAACCCATGAACTCCAGCTCTCAAAGGAAATCCCCATCGTCCCTTGTGTGTGCGTCCTGCACATGTGAGAATGAGAAGTAGGGTGCTGTGGTTTGTGGAACTTCTATTTAGCACCTCATGCTGGGCACCTGTCTTACTGGGTCCTCCTGATGACCCGGCGAGGTGGGTAGGGCTTCAGGTGAAAGGGATTTTGGGTGAAAGGGCAACAGTGAGAAGAACCCATAAGACACTGAGAGTCGGGCCAGCTGAGCGCTGAACTGGGGCCAGAGGGCAAGGAGCAGCGGAGGACCACTGAGGACTCCAAGCTTCTGGACAGAGAGGGAGCCGCTCACACCACTGCTGACCCTGTCCTCTCTCCCAGCCGTTTCGCTGGACTGTATCCCTCGACAGGATAGCCCACGTGAACTCTGGAAAACGTTCCCACCCACACTCCTTCTGGGAGACAGATTGGGTGTCTTCCATCCGTGAGCGTCACCCCTGAATTTTTAACACGGGAGTCCAGGGAGAGAAAGGATCATCCACTTGGGGTAAACTGCCTGTCTTCCTTTTCAGGTGTGAGAGTAAAAAACTCCCATATCGGGGAAAGTTGGTCTCTAAAAATGATGCAGCGTTTCCGTCCCTATAGCGTACCAGCGGGCCACTCTCCACCCCAAGATGAGAGTCCCACTCTCCATGGACCACTTTCCTGGGGAACAGGCAGACGCCGTCCCAGAAAGAGAGCATGGAGTCCTATCACAGACGCTGACGCTGGACCGTGTGTGCCTTTGATCATCTCTGTTTATAGGGCTGCGAGACCTGCCCACTGGGTATCGTTTTCACCGAAGGGGCTGTTACCCTGAGTTGTGGGGACCCTGGATTCTTTATCACCCCCAGTGGTCTCAAGTTGTAAATTTCAAGCCACTATTAACGTGGCCAGACAGATTTTTAAGACTCCTGCAGACAGCGCGCAATTAACCATCTCCTGTCAGCTGGAAAATCAGCTCAATAGCCCATTCAAGTTCACGTCCAAACGGCTTTACATTAAGGAAGGCTTCCAGAGTCTCCTAGGGCCTCAGGACTAGAATCTCGCTAAAGCTATGGCGACGGGAAGAGGTCCAAAATGGGGGCGATGGGCCAGCTGTGAGAGGGCAGTCACTGTAGCCACCAGTTGATCTTTACCCAAATGGTTTTATTGGGGTAGCCATGCAAGTAACTCCTACCACAGACAACCCATACATCTGTGAGCCAGTGTGCCCGATCCATCCCCAGAACTAACTTCACATGCAGGTGACTACTGACCTGGGCAAACAGCAGAAGGAGCCTGTCAGTGGCTGGGGACGCCATCACGGGCCACCGCCTACAGACCCCTCTTGTAGGGAAGCAGAAGGAAGGGTGGGAGCACAGAGCGAGGCTCTCACCCCAGGCGCTGGGAGCCTGGCCGCCAACTCCGAAGAGAGGCACCGGCTCCAACCAACAAGAGGAATGCTGCCCTGGCACAGGCTGTGCGTTCCGGGGAAGGTCCGGGGCAGGACTGATTCCTGCTCAGAAGACTTCATGAGCCGCATGGCAGGGAACTGATGCAAATAAAAGACAACCAAGTTAGCCTTCCATGACCTTGCCAACCTGTACATTGTTAACTTGATTTTCCCCCTTTGTAAGGTGACCAGATCTTCCCACTTTTGGCAGGACAGTCCAGATTTTTAACAATTTTTCCCTCATCCCGCGGCATTTTAAGAAAAGTTCCTCACTCCTCCTCCTTCTTTTACCCAAATCTCTTGGGGCTTTTTTTGTTTTTGTTTCTGTTTTTTGCTTATGTTCCTCCCTCCACCTGGAATACCTCTCCCCCATCTCTGCGTGTTCAAATTCTACCTGGATTTCAATGCCCATCTCAAATGTTACCTCCTTCGTGGAGCTAGCCCCTTTTGTGAAAATTAGAACATGGAGTAGTAAGTACTCTTGCCTAAGGACTGATCATTCAGGAACCATCCTGACGGTACCCATCTTCTGTGCGAGAGCATTTTGAGAGCGCCCCGTGTTGACGGAGGAAAGCCTAGTCTCTTTGACCAGCTGGAGAGCTCTCTGTACCAGCCTCTCTCCGCTCTGAGCAGCCCTCTCACCATGCCTGGCTCTGCTTGCTTTGCTTCCTTAGGTGAAAGCAAGGCCGTACTGATGGTCACTCCTTGCTGCTTCTCACAGCTATGGCTGTACCTGAAGGAACTCTCATGGCCAATCTCTTGACCTTTCACCTGGGTAACTCCTCATCCTCCATGCCCTGAGTCATCTCCTCCGGAAGCCTTCCCCGCTCAGCTGGGTCAACCTTCTCTATGCCCAGAGCACCTTGAATCACCTCTTTTCTAGCATTTATTGCAACAATCAGATCATCTGTTTTCTTACCTGAGAGGGAGCCTTCTAAGAAGATATTTCATTCAAAGTTGCTACTCAATGCCTACCAGGGGTGTGTGTGTGTGTGTGTGTGTGTGTGTGTGTGTGACTGTAACTGAGGCAATAGGAAACTTCAGGGTTCTTGCCCACCTGGTCCCTCTCCTTGGATCTGATTCGCCCTGTCAGGACTAGGGCTGCTGATGGGCACTGTCTTACTCCGTGTGGGCTGATATAACATAATACCATGCACTGGGCAGCTCAGAAAGAGAAGAGTTTATTTCTCATAGTTTTGGGGCCTGGGATGTCCTAGACCAAGGCTCCCGCAGATTCTGCCTGTGGTGCAGAGACAGTCAAGGCCTGATCTGTGGAAGGCGGTCTTCTCTCTGTGTCCTCACATCAGAAGGGGTGAGAAATGCAGCCGAAGGGCCCAGGACTCATTCTCCAAGCCAGTGGGTGGATGAGGTGCTCCATCACCAGACAGCTGACACTGTGGTGCAGAGGGAAGCAGCTCTAGGCACAGTCCTATCACTCTGGCCATGGAATCTTGTTCGGGGGAAGGCCAGCTCTCCATCCCTGGAGGAACGTGGAGATAAGCTTTCCGGAACTTGCAGCAACCTCGGTCCAATGAGTCGGGTCCTCAGCTGACCTACGGGATACAATGTGACAAGTCAGGGACAGTTCCTTCCTAAGGAGCCAGCCCGTCCCGCCGAGCCCGCGCCCTCCATGGAGGTGTGTGGGGGACAGCCCAGGAGGGTGGGGGTGGGACTGTCAGGACAGTCGGTCACCTCACCGGCTACAAGATCCCCTGGCTTATGTGATAAAAGGCCACGGAGGCCACGGAGGCCCTGTGAGGAAGGGTGAGGGCCTAACACTTAGCAGCTGCCAACTGGCTTCTAAGCACTGAGCCTCCTGGGAGGCACTGGGCTCCTAGCTTTATCCCGGAGGATGCTGGACAACACGGAGTTAAGTCGCAGAGCCAAAGCCTGACGGCTGGCATGGCTGGGACACAGCGGAGATGGCATTTGAACCCAGATGATCTGGCTCCAAACCTTCCCCTTGAATGCTGCAGCCTCCCAGAGCGAGTGAGGGCGGCAAGGCTGATGGGGCTGCGTGTGCTGAGTGTGAATGAAACCCTCCTTCCAGGGAGAGCCAATGGCAAAGTTACAAGAGAACAGCTCCCTCCCAGAGAGAACGTCCATGCCAATGTCCATCCCCACTCCCACCTGCACCTCCGTGTCTGCCGTCCCACCTGTCCCCACCGGGCTTCTCCCTCATTCTCAACACCCCATTACCCCGAGGCTGGCTGGATTGGGGGCCCATTTGTTTTCAATTATACACAACACGTCACACCTCCTTCCCCCACGCAAACCCCCGCAAACCCTCCTTGCTCCGCAAGGTGAGGGACAGGCGCTCTCCACTGAGACAAGGAGGAGGAGGGCAGGAGGAAAAGAGGGCGGGAGCAGGGGAAGGAGGCAGAGCAAGAGACAGGAAGGCAGGAAGATGGGTAAAGGGAGGAGGAAGGAGGAAGAGGAGGGGGGAGGGGGCTGGAGAGAGGGGAGGTAGAGGATGGGAAGGAGGAGAGGAGGAGGAGGGGAGGGGGAGAGGGGGAGGAGGAAGAGGTCGCCTCCTCAAAGGAAAAGCCTTTTCCCATGAAAATGCACTCTGGCTGGTGCCCATTAGCATCCCCGTGCATAATGAGGGGCCGGCCCATTGTCATGCAAATCAGTTCGGATGACAACACCCTCTCCTCGACAACAGGCCAGGCTCCTGGAAGTTTCTCACAGGCCTCAGCCAATGCGAACGGGGCCGCGCCACCACCTTTCATTAATTATGTTTCCCCCCGCTTTGCTCTGGCGAGGTTTGTTTCCAGCCACAGCCCCCTGCACCTCCCAGCTGCCGCCGGCCACTTCCCAAGCGGCAGAAGCTGACAGCACCCGGACAGACAGCATGAAAAGCAAATGAGCAAGGAAGGGGCACCAGAGAACGCGTGCGATTCAGATCCAGACTGAAAAGGAAGCGGGGGACTGAACAGAGGGGTGGAGTGATTTCCACCCCGCCACACAGCAGCGGCTCCTGCTTTCCTTTCTCTTTGTGGTCACACTCTCCCCCGTGGTCATTCAAAGTCCGATAACATGGATTCCTGGAGTTGTTGACTGTAGGGAGGGTGACTCATCCCAGCCATTGTCTGGCCAGCCACCCTCTCACTCCGGGCCACTGACCAGGGATTTCTCACTGTCTCAGGCTCAGACCAGTTCTTGCCCCGAAGGGAGTTCTCTGTCAGAAGTAAGAGTGAACATGGGTGGCTCCGGAAAACACCAGAAGGGTTACAGCTCATCGGTGCTGAGGGCTGGGGGCCCTACAACCTCTTTCCATCTCCTGAGCCCCTAGATGTCCACACATCTTGTCCCCGAGCCTCCCGTGGCCAGTGCGGCCATCCCTGCAGGCTAGAGGTAAGAGCTGGCCAGAGCTATGCCCCCCTGTTCTGTTCGCAGCCTAGCCGGTTAGTTAAACCGCTGTGTTGGAGTCTGAGGATTCGTTCAAGTCCTGACTCCCTCTCTTTTCAAGCTGCATGATCTTAGACAAGTTACTGACCCTCTGTGGGCCTCAGTTTATCCATCTACAAAATGGAAGGAACAGTGGTACTCACCTCCTAGGGCTGTTAGGATCATTAGAAACATAATACATAGAAAGCACCAAAAACAACGTCTGGCACATTGCAGGCACTTTTATAAATGTTAGCTCATATCATTAGTAATTTTCTCAGACTTGACCTTTTTCTTTTTCTTTTTCTTTTTCTTTTTCTTTTTTTTTTTTTTTTTTTTTAACTTATCTGGATAACTCTCCTCTTTATTGCTCCCAGCTTTCCAAGCAGCCCTGTCCTGGCTTCAATTGCAGTGACAATAAAATGCATACTAGCTGACAGCATTGCTGACAGGGAGCATGTGACCAGGATGGGGGGTGGGTGGGGGTGGGGCAGGACTAACTTTGTCCCCTGACAGTCCTGTCACCTCCACCCTATGTCTGAGTAGGTAGAGCAAGGAAAGGGGGAGGGGTGGACATTCTGGAGATCAACTTTAGCTTAAACATTATCTGAACAACAGACAGGCTTTGTAGCCAGACACAAATTATATGCAAATCGTATGCAAATCTGAATGTAAATACTTTGGTCCCAGGGAGAAAATCCTTGAGGAGACATTCTCACTCCCTTCTCCCTTACTTCCCAGGCTGTATTTTGCTCTCTGATTGGTTACTTTGGAATTCATTAGGAAGATGCAAAGATGCTCAGAATTCCTCAAAAGGGGTCATGTCACCTGCTTGTCAGAGGCTGGAGACACCTCGGGCTGCCGCCATTCCTCATCAGAAGGGAGCTCTCTGCCCACTCACCCTGAGCCAGAAGAGTCCCCACGGATAGCTCTGGACAAAGTCAAGAACCAACATAACTACAAAAGTCTCAGGGTCCTTAAACTGGGCTGGGGACGCTGCTTCCTGGCCTGGGTCACCCAAATCACCCCTTGTCTAATAGTTCCTCTTAACTTCTCTCATCAGATTTGAAAGAATGCCTATACCAGTGGTCGGCAAACTTATTAGTCCACAGAGCCAAATATCAACAGTATAACGATTGACATTTCTTTGGAGAGCCACATTTCTTTAAACTTAAACTTCTTCTAACGCCACTTCTTCAAAACAGACTGGCCCAGGCCGTGGTATTTTGTGGAAGAGCCACACTCAAGGGGTCAAAGAGTTGCATGTGGCTTGTGAGCCGTGGTTTGCCGACCACTGGCCTAAACTAAGCCAGTTGGGGGTGGAGATAAGATGTGGGAAGGGGAAAAGACAAAACATAACTACTTGATTCATTCTACAAAACGTTACCTGGTCCCCACTGGGCACCGGCCAGGGCCCCAGCCCTATGCAGAGATCTCCCCTCACAGCTTCGGGACCTCAGCGTGGTGGGCGGTTTACCCGTGAGAGGACTCGGGGTCACAGAGCACGCCCGGCTCTGGGTCTCACGTTGGCCTGGCCAGGAGGAAATCCTATGACTGCAGGTTCCCTTCCAAGACCAGTCTCCCAGAATGCATCTCTGACAGGAGAAGTCTCACCATGATGAGATCAGGAGAGGAAATACCCCTGGATCTTCCTGCTGCCCATCGAGCTGCCCCCATCCTGGCACCATTTACAGTGTTTCTTGGGATCTGAGAACAGCTATGCAGTCTGAGGATTTCTCAGGGGCAACCCTGGGTCAAGAGAAGGGGAGCTATTTCAGCCACAGCGTGCACCCTTGCGCAGTTCCTCTTGTCTGAGTGCTGGCTCCATCCGGTGCCCCCACAAATGGCTCCCGCCGGCCTGCGGGGGGGGGGGGGGGGGGGGCGGGGGTTCCAGGAGCCGGTGGTGATGAACACAGACTCTAGGCCTGACTTACTGGAACACGCTTTCTCTCACATCCAAGGCTGCAGCCTTCCCCTCTTGGCTCTCCTCGCCCTCCTCGTTCTCTCTCACACGCTCCCTCGCTCATTCTCCATCAGTCACCGCGTTTCATGGTTCCCTCCCAGCCGTTCTTTCTCTAGACCCTTTCCCTTCCCCTTCCTCTCTCCCTCCCTCCTGGAATCTCTGGTGGAACCAGGTTGAAGTGATGGAAGGCAACCAAACCTTGGCATGCAGGTGTGCTTCATTTGCTGGGAATGCTACCCAACCGTGACCTCTCTTTGCAGGGCTCCTCCAGCTTAGAGAACGTCCACGGCCTCACCGGATCCAGAAGGGCAACCGGATGGCCCTCTCCCCTCCTCCGGGAGGGCAACAGCCGCGGAAAGAAATGTAGACCCTGGAGTCACTGCCAAGGCCACGTCATTACCGAAATAGGCTTCTCCAAGGCCAGTCTTCCGCAGTCTCCCTCTTTCCCTCCACCCCACCCCCAGTTCACAGGTAGGGAATGCAGATGAGAGCTTGCAAATCTTGCCTGCCTCTACCCCCATCCCCCACCCCCTTCTCCCAGGAGCAAGTAGAGTCCCATGAAACCCTAGCACAAAGAGAAAGAAAGGAACCGTGGAATCTGGCCCGTTTCTGCCCACTCGATGCCTGGCTCTCTTTAGCCCAGTCTCCGATTTCCAATGGTCCCACTGCCCACTTTCCCCCGAGGACCGGAGCCCGCTGAATAGCGTTCCTTTTCATTGGTGCTTCCCGGTGCCATCCCCAAAGACAGATGCTGGGCCCCTCTGGCCGCCTTCCATATGACTTCATTTGCAAAGTGCAGGGAAGAGGCCCAGCCAGCCGGGGCATCACATCACATCCCTATCGCTGTGGGGGTGGGCGGGGAAGGCTAACTGGGCAGAACGAGGGAGGACAGCCCTGAAGGCAGCTCTTCTATCAAACGACTCCAGCTCTGGATGCCGCAGCTTGCACAATGCCTCTCACCACGCCTGCCAATCGGCCCAGCAGGGAAGTGTGGGGTAGTGGGTGGGGGCGGGGGCGGGGGACAAGCAAAGGCATCATTCACACTGCCTGCCCTCTGGCTCGCCACTCCGTGTGTGTGTGTGTGTGTGTGTGTGTGTGTGTGTGTGTGTGCGCGTAGATGGCGCCTCGCTGTTCTCATCATTCACATGCCCGAGGTGTCACGGTGTGAAGGGACGAGGCATGCTTCCTCATGGTTTCCCT